ACCAAGTTGTGTTTTGATGAAAAAACTATAAGAAAAGCATAAAGTATTTCATCTTATTATTGTCTAAATTCAGAAATTTCATAGATTGTTTCAGAATGTATACTTTAAAAGGTCAGCAACTAGGAAAGTTACAAGAACATTATAAATATGAAAATATATCTTAAGAAAAAATAATAGGTAAAAATAAATGTTTCTGAAAGAGAAAGTATCTTGTAGAGTAGAATAATATTTTGTCCTAGTTATAATATTTTTGTCTTAAAGTCCTTTTGAAATAAAAGACAAAACTAAGGATAAAAGAAATTACAGAGTATCTAATTAAGTTACAAATGGTTTGTGAAAAGTAAATCTCAAAAAATTTGTGGGCAATTAATTTGGCTATAATCACAGTCAAAGTTATTTAAGCATTTTTTCCCTATGGTCAACTTCTAATATTTTGATAGAGAATAAAATCTAGTTCTTCACGTTTAAAAACAACAACATTCCTTAAATCATTGATCTGCTCTCATTATAACAGAGTCTACTTCATGCTCTGAGTGTAGACCTTGCTGCTCTGCATCTTATTTTAAAACTGACACAATTTTTTCTTTTCTCCATCTTCCCCTCCCTAACATTGGGGGAAGGGAGATTACATTTCTTTTCATTCTGGGCTGAGTTGTCTATCCCTGGGCTCACATACCAGAGGAAAGAAATAATTCAGTGTTGCCAAAAAAATCTAAAAAAAAATAGCTCTCAAAGCTGCAAATAAATTATGACCCTAAAGAGGGGGGCAACTGAAATGTAGCCATTAAATCACCTTTTTATAAAGAACCAGGTAATTAGTCATCTATATTTCTCCTTTGCTAACAAAGAAACAAAACTTCTTTTTCCTTTTTCTCAAAACCTTGTCTTCATTACTGGATAGACATCAGGGAGAAAGCAAAGGCCAATTTTTTTTTTTTATAACATTACCTATCAAGATAACTTCTTGTGTCTATTGGGTTTACAAATCAAGTTCTTGCTAATTTTACTTTATAACTATTACCTCTTAGTGTTTTACAGAAGTACTACTTCTATCAGAATATCCTGAGTTGAGATAATAAAGCATTACCTCTAGGACGAGAGAATATAATGCTGACTTCCAGTACTGATATTAACCATAATTAAACAAAAGGAGTAACTATAAAACTGATACCCTAGTTAAACAAAAGGAATAACTGTAAAATTATAAACATTAAAGTTACAACCTATTACTCCAATTTCAAGAATGGCAAAAGTGGACTACTAGATGTTTAAAATCCAAACTTAGAGACAAAAGTCTCTAAGTAAAAGGGCCAAGGAAAAAGTAGCCAATATTTTGACCTTTGCCCCCTAAGATCATCCAGAACTCAGGGAACAACAGGACTTCTTTAAGGTCCCTGCAACTCCAGTGAGTCACCTGACCTCTTGATCAGGGGATTGTGAAGACCCTAGAGAACAAAAAGCCAACCAATGCACATTCTGCAAAGAGGAAAGTCACTGGAAAGGTAAATGTCCCTGAAATTTCAAGGGAAGCCACATGTAGTTGGCAAGACTGCCATCCTGGCAGATAGCATGACTGGTAGAAGAAAGATAAAGGAGCCAAGAGGCTTCTCACAAGTTCCTAACAGTGATCCATGACAAAATCTCAGATGATTTTTAATAGCATATAGGAAAAAGGTCAATTTTTTTACCAACTTTGTCTTAAACACCTGGCAGGAAACTAACCAAAGTATAGTCATACATGGACATTAAAAAAAAAAGATAATGGATTTTTTAATGTAACTTGAGATATACACTTGTGTCAATCCTCTCCAAAACAAGTAAAACTAGTAGGTTATAAAGAAAGGATTCTTGTACAAGAGCACCTGACAACTATCACAAAAGATGCTACTAGAGTCACAGGCTTGTAATGAGTCAATTTGAGACCTAAGAATTTTCCTGAACTCCTACACAGGTAAACTCTGTTTTTCACTGGAATGATTATCTAACCTTGATATTTATCCCTCAGATTGGTCTAAATGATATAATGTGGCACATGAAAGCCCTAACTTTACCAAGAGAGTTGTAATTGACACAGGGACTCTTCTACCAACACAGAGGTAACAACAATGAGAAAGCTGTTTTACAGAAATCTATTTTACAGAAATCTATTTTACAGAAATGGCATTCCACAGTTCAAGGGGACATCTGTGCCACTATAAAAACTAAATGTTGTATACATGTTTCCAGCAACACTGCTAATGTTTCTAAAGCCTTGAATGGTCTAATGGTCACAAATCAAAGGTATATAAACCACATATTAAACTCTAATAAGTACTGTCTTCATAGTCTTCAGAGACTGGCTTATAACACTGATTGTTTCTATGTTAATTGTTTACAGATAATAATACTTTACTGTCTTGTTTATTGTTCTTCTTGCATGAACCCTGACCTATGTATACCTATTCCAATCACCCACCAACCACCATCAAGGACCTCTGGACTGCCCTGATGTGTAAGGTACCCACAGAGTTCATTAAACTCCAGATGGTCATGGAAACAAAAACTGCCATTGAGGTACTACCTGACTTCTGTAGGGGCCCATTAGACCTCTATAGAGGGATCCTAATTGCTATTCCCATCAATACTCCTAAAGTTGTCATTGCCCTTCTTCCTCAAAAGCAGTTAGGATCACCTCATCAGAATGGGGAATGAGGTGGGATAGAATTAAAACAGACAGATAGGAAACTTGGGCCCCTCCAAGATCAAGTTTCTGTGTAGCAGGGCTAAGAGGCTACAGACATAAGAAGTTAAGCCTCATCAAGGTCAGGCCAATTCCTGTGTAACCAGAAAAACTAACTGATAGTGAGACATCTCTTGCCTAGTTCCCAGATACCCTCCCCCAAAAAGGCATGGTAACCTGACTGGATGAAAGGTTGAAAAGCTCTTGGTCTCTGAGTGCCATACTTAGGATTAGGTCAGGGCTAGCTGTAGATTTATACAAACCCCAAGACAACAGACACCCATTGGTAACCCTGCTTTTGGGACCCCCTCCTCCTTTGGGAGTTCTGCCTTCTTTCTTTTACTTTTATAAATATTATTACTTTGCTCTCACCCTGTGTCCATGGATTTCATTCTTCAAATCCATAAGACAAAGAACCCACCTAACTTTACTCAGTGCTATACCATGACCATCAAGATACACTAAATATCTGTAGAATTTTTTTCCCTTCATCCCATGCCTGTAGTTTAAAAAAATTACACAGAAATAATATTATTAAAGCTTTGCTGATTTACTACAAACATTGATTAACGAAAAGAATTAAATAAAAATTTTAGAAACAAAAGTCAAACTATCTGAAGTCAAAACTTAATAGAATGAATTTGACATTAACTTAGACAAAGCCAAAGAGAAAATTAATGAATTAGAAGATGGCTTAGAGAAAAATCTAAACAGAATGATAAATATGTGATACATGATGAAAACATCTAACATTTATGTATTTGAAATACATAATACACAACCTGAGAAGAAAAGCAGCATATACATTTGAGAATTTTCCAAAACTGATAAAGACTTCAATCCACAAATTGAAGAGTAAAAAATATGCAAACTGGATAAACTAGTAAGAAAATTACACCTAGGCAATCTTAGTATTTTGTTGTGGGGAGAAAAGGATTAGGAACAGCCAGAATAAAAAAAACAAGCAAAACAACAACCAAAAAAAAAAAAAAACTTTATCCTCAAAGGAAAAAATGAGAGCCATATTGGATGCTTGAAAAACCTACAAGGAAAATAACTACCAACCTAGGACTTTATATACAGCAAAAAAAATTCTTCAAAAAATAATGTTAACCCAGGCATGATAGCTCATGCCTCTAATCCCAGTGATTCATGAGGCTGAGGCAGGAGGATTGCAAGTTTGAGACCAACCTCAGCAACTTAGTGAGGCCCTAAGCAACTTAGACCCTTTCTCAAGATTTTAAAAAAGGGGTTGGGGCTTGGAATAGCCCAGTGGTAAAATGCCAATGGGTTCTATCTCAGCACCAAAAAAGAAAAAACAAAATAATAATGGCAAACTAGATATATTTCAAACAAACAAAGGTAAAGGAGTTTGTTATGAGCACACCTGCAACAAAGAAAATACTAAAAGCAGAGGAAATTATGAGATGAAAACTCATACTTACAGAGATAGAGGGGAAGAAACAAAAAATATCTGAGTAAATCTAAGTAATCATTAACTCTATATAATACAAGTAATAACAATATCTGTGGGTAAAAAGTATACATAGCATTAAAACAAATGATAACAATAATACCTAAGGTAAAATGGAGTAAAATATAATCAAACTGTTCTAAAGTTGATTTTTCCCTGGAATTGGCAAACATATTAACTTAGATGGTAATAATTCAAGAGTAGAAACTTAACACTGTATGGAAAATATTAAAAGAACAGTGAAAAAATGCAGAGAAAGCTAGGAGAGGAAAAAACAGAATAATAAAAAATAATCAATCCAAAAGAACAAAAGAAAGGGACCTCAAAAACGATAAGACAAACAGAAAAATAATAAGATGGTAAATTTAAATAAAATACATCAGCAATTATATTGAATGTAAACAAATCAAATAACCTCATCTACAAGGCAAGAATTTTCATAATAAATTAACAAAAACAAATTCCAATTATATATTACTTATAAGACATGTACCTTAAACAAATGGATACAGAAAAGTTGAAAGTATGCATTATGTAAACATCAACTAAAAGAGAGCGGAAATACCCACAGAAAATATATCTTAACATCACTTTTCGCTTTACATTAGCATTGTGTGTTCAGTCCTTACTCTAGAATGTAAATGCATGGAAAAATGAAACGGAATCTTCACTTTCATATCCCATGGTTCCTGCAAGCCTACAAGTACTCAGGATATGTTGGCTCTACAAACTTTTTATTTGGTGTTCTCATTTTGTTAGTGAGAAGAGATGTATGTAAATACAGAGAAAATTTAAAGAAGCACTTACCTTTTTGACATATGGCATGTACTTTTTATCCAGATAATATGAACCATATTCATTCTCAACTTGCATAGCAATGATGGGGCCTCCCCGGTTATACTAAAGGTCAAGAAGATGAGAATTTGAGAGTGATTCTAATGGTAGAAAAAAGACTATATTTTTTTGAGTTTACAGAGCACATGCATAGAAATAACTATGTAACTATCCTATTAGCAAATAATATTCTTCCTGCTTCAGAGTGCATAGAAAGTGGTAAGCCCTCAAGAAATCAACACAGGTGATTACTTTCCATAGTTGCATAAATGGATGATTGGGTTTTACCTGCAATGGCAACAGCCTGGAAATCAGATGATCAAAATATAAATCCACTGCTTTAATGAAGCCCTTGTAAGTTGTCCGCAGCTTCATTTTTGGATCCTTGAGTAACCAGCTAAGATCAAAAAAGGGAGACTCAGACTTGGAATGGGAGACAAAATTAAGAAATGTTCAAGTGTAGAAGGTTGAAAACACAGACAGCCTACATTTGCAAATACACAATTGTACTTGTGAAGGTTTAATCCAGCTTCAAGAAAGAGCAATGGGTACCAGCTACAAACAGCTGATAAAGGTTATCCATAGTCTTTCCTCAAAATGCAAGGGTGAGGTATGTAACAATGATCTAGAGCAGAGCTCACCCAACTACAGCCCAAAGGCCAAATCAGACATGTTGTTTCTGTAAATAAAGTTTTATTGGCAGAACGTCATAGCCAATAATTTATATATTGCCACAGGAACTTTTGTGCTACATCAGCAGAATTGAATGGTTGCAATAGAGACTGCATATGGCCCATAAAGTCTAAAATATTTACAATCTGGAAGAGTTTGCCAAATTCTAGTCTAGAATGAGATTTTTTATAAAGCTATTTTGAAGCTGGTAGCAAGGGAACCTCATTACTGGAAATTACCAGACTATAAAAAGGCATGAAGTACTAACACATGCTACAAGGTGAATAAACCTTGAAAACATTATGTGAAGTGAAAAAAAGACACAAAGGCCACATATTGTCTAATTCCAATTACATGAAATATCCAGCATGGGCAAATCTGTAGAGTCAAAGGGTAGAATATTGGTTGCCATTGTAATTGAAGAGGAGAAAAAATGGGGAGGGATTGAGGTACAGGGTTTTCTTTTGGAGGGATGAAACATTCTGGAACTAGATAATGGTAGTGATGTTCAATATTTTGAATGTAGTTGATATCATGGAAATGAATCCTTTTAAGTGGTTAAAATGGAAGATTTCTTATTATGTATATTTTACTACAATAAAAAAAGACCTGAAACAAAACAATAACAATAAAACTCCTCTTTAAAAAGGGATATTGGCCTTGATATTTGTATTGCTACCACAAACCCTAGAACTCATGAAGATATTGCTTAAGGGTAGCCATTAGTTTATTTTAAGAATAAATATGAACTCTACCCCATCTGCATTGTAGAGATAGAGGTTTATTTTAAAATACTATATAGTCCCAAATACTTTATGGTTCATTCACTATGGACAAAATAGTGCAGATAAAAAAAAAAAAAAGGACATAGAAAACAAAGCAAAACACTTTGCTCTAAGTTCCATTTGAATGTGCTTATGGGGCATGTGCAGTCACCCTTAGATCACAACTTACCTGGGCAAGCCTCCAAGATCTAAGTCACTACCAATGTAGGGTCCTGGACACAGAATGACCCAGAGTCCCACCTCTGAAGCTGTGGTTATAAAAGCCCTAGGAAACAAAGCAATAACAATAACTTCACATTGAATGCTGAGATCAGTAAACCTGTTGTTTCTTTCTCTTTGAATTCTTCTGAGGTTGGAATGAATGAAACTCCCAGCCTGGCCCACAAAAGTCCTTACAGAAGACATTCTGGAGGAGATCAACACTCAGTTAGAAATAGGCTCTGTCAAGGCACTGGAGAGAAGAGTATTAAAGTGAAAGCCCAGAATTCCTAAACAACTCCAGTATTCCCAAGCAAATCCACTAACTGCCTTGCACTTTGAATGGCACCACCATCCAGGAAACGACTTAGGGCAGAAATTTACAAATCATGTTTTCACCTCATTCTTCCTCACCTCCTACTGTGTCAGGAACAAAATCATGTTTATCCTTCCTCTATATCCTACTGCAATCAGATTGGCTCATTTTGCACCTGGGTTATTAGAATGATTGATTGATTTACTTTCTTGGTTCTTATTATCATTCAGACATTCTCCAATTACTATCAATACAGTGTCACCATGAACAATAGGACTAATATTTATGTTGTATTGGCATCAGGCACTACTGCTCAATTTAAGTTTTATATTATTTTGGATAATGGTATAAGATAGGTATCAGTGTGTTCTCTATTTTTACAGTTAAGAAAATACAGACTTTAGGGCTGGGGATGTGGCTCAAGCGGTAGCGCGCTCGCCTGGCATGCGTGCGGCCCGGGTTCGATCCTCAGCACCACATACAAAGATGTTGTGTCCGCCAAAAACTAAAAAATAGATATTAAAATTCTCTCTCTCTCTCTCTCTCTCTCTTTAAAAAAAAAAAGAAAAGAAAATACAGACTTTAATGGTTAGAACTTTCTCAAGGTACAATTTTGGTAAATGGGAAAACTAAAATTAAAATTCAGGCAGAGAATCTCCAGAAATGAAATTTTAATTTCTCTGTTATGTTGCCACTTAAAAATATTGCCAGGGTTTGGGGACATAGTTAAATAGTACTACATTTGCACAGCATGCATGAAAACCCAAGTTCCATCCCCAGCAAAACACACACACACACACACACACACACACACACCTTGTAGAATGATCTTTCTAAATGTAAATACAAGTTTCCCAAATCAAAATTCCTCAAGTGACTCCCCAGTGCTCTTAGAATGGGTCCCAAAATCTGTAGCATGGTATATAAGGCCAAGATCTGAATATTGCTAAATCTCCAGCTTTACTTTTTGACAGTATCTCCACTTAAAAGTAGAAGAGCATTACTTGCAGATCCCAGGAAATAAGACGTGGTGCACCTCAAATAGTATATTAATCTCCACGATATATAAACAACTCAATAAACTTATTAATGGCAAAAAAACCCCACAAATAACCCAATTAATAAAATGGAAAAAGGAACTGAACAGACACTTCATAGAAGAAGAAATTCAATTGATCAACAAATATATGAAAAAAAATGTTCCAACATCTCTAGCAATTAGAGAAATGCAAATCAAAATTACACTGAGATTCCATCTCACTCCAGTCAGAAAAGCAGTCATCAAGAATACAAGCAACAATAAATGGTAGCAGGATGTGGGGGAAAAGGTACACTCAAACATTCCTGGTGGGTCTTCAAATTGGTGCAACCACTATGGAGATTCCTAAGAAAACTTGGAATGAAACCACCATTTGACCCAGTCATCACTCTCCTAGGATTATACCCAAAGGACTTAAAATCAGCATACTACAGTGACTTAGCAACATCACTGTTTACAGCAGCACAATTCACAATAGCTGAACTATGGGATGAAACTAGGTGCCCTTCAACAGATGAATGGATAAAGAAATTGTGATATACATACACAATGGAATAATACTTAGCTTTAAAGAAAAATGAAATTATGGCATTTGCCAGTAAATGGATGGAACTGGCAAATATCATGCTAAGTGAAATATGCCAATCCCAAAGAATCAAAGGCCAAATGTTTTCTTTGATATGCAGATGCTAATACACAATATGCGTAGGGGTAGAATAGTGGTATTTTGGAATAGACAGAGGGGAGTGATGGGAGGGGAGGGAGAATGGGGGTAGAAATGAATTGGACATGTTCATATATGATTACATGACCTACATCATGTACAACTAGACATATATGAATTTATACTCCATTTATGTATGGTGTGTCAAAATGCATTCTACTGTTATGTATAACTAATTAGAACAAATAAAAAATAAATAAGATGTGTGGCAGAAAGTTAACCAGAAAATCTATTCCTTTTTCTTCTCTGACATACAGTTCAACTACACTTCTAAGCCATCAAGCACTAGATGGGGCTATGTGATTGATTTCCAGCCCATAAGGTGTGAACAGAAGCAATCTCTTGCAACTTCTGAAGGAGATTCTTTGTGTTGTTTATTCAACTTGCTAGCTGGAGGCAGAAAAGTTCAGTGGTTTGGAAGTTATGTATGAAAGATTATGACAGCATAAGATAGAAAAGACCCTGAAACCCTCAAATTATTAACTCGAACTGAGATATATATGTACATCAGAAATATCTACTTCAAATTCTACTTGAATAAAAATATTTATTGTCAATGGAATATAAGGCTTACCTTTTTTAGCATCTGACATCACCTTAGGTGATATACACTCCACCTGAAATACCATCCAGCCCCTTCTAGTTAACTCTTGTTCAAATTTGAAACTTTCCTCAGCTGTATGTTCACATTATCTTTCCTGATTTGTTTCCATAGTTTGGTCTGTATATCCTTGGTATGTTGTATTTGCCTGTTTTTGGCAGAGAATCTTTATTCTTTTTTGTTTGTCTGTTTTTAGGATTCTTGCACTTTATTTTTTTAATTTATTTCTTTCATACATGACAATAGTGGAATGCATTACATTCATAATTATCCATTCATAGCACAATTTTTCATAACTCTGTATATAAAGTATGTTCACGCCAAATTATGCCATTATACATGAACTCTCTTATTGATTTATTTTTTTTTCTTTTGCATTACAATTCTTAATACACCTTTATACCACGGGCTGGGGATATAGCTCAGTTGGTAGAGTGCTTGCCTTGCATGCATAAGTCCCTGGGTTCAATCCCCAGCACCAAAAAAAAAAGAAAGAAAAAGGAGAATCTTTATTCTTCAAAGCACAGTGCTGTCTATCCATTTCCAGCACCAAAGATAATGTCAAATTGTTGCAGATACACATATTTTTGAATAAACAGTTACTCTACTTCTGTCATATCTTAGAAGTCCTATAAACTATAGTCTAGAAATCTCCTATTATTAAGTACCAGAGCAGGTTCTATATGATAGATTAACACCGTAGAATACTGGATGAACAATTTCTAAACCACACTGTGACACTAAGATCTATGGTTCACTGGGACAGACTCCCTGCTTAAGAGGTTTTCCATCCAGGAAACAAAAATTATCAGAGCTCTCTGATAGTTTTAAAAGTAGAAAATCAGGTGTCCCCTTTTATTACATCTGATTCCCAAAACCAAACCCCTGTCTCTAAGCCACAGAATTGGGCAATTAAAACATGAACACATACATCACGTCCAGGTTTCCAGTGAAATGAAATTTGCCTATTTTGGGCTCGTGAAGGTTCCAGGGAACATGCCTGAAATAGGGGGGAAAAAAAAAGAGAGAAACGTTTACTTGACCTGATTCCATACTGATTCCTCCAGTTTTAATTCCTCCAGCGCTTAAGTTATCTCTACCATAAAAGAAGTTGAAGGTTTCAGTAAACAAATTTCTATGTGTGTACTATGTATTATCTGTAAGACTTTCTTCCTCTAATTCCCAGCAATGATCCAAGCAGCCAATATGTTGCCATGATTCTGGATTTCAGATAATAAAAGAGTGTATGTAATGTTTTCTGGGTACACCGACAAATTTCTTTTTTTAAATGCTCACAAAAATACCTCAAATATTTAAATCTGCATCTACAATGGGATAAAAGAAAACAATCAGGGGCTGGGGTGGTGGCTCAGTGGTAGAGCACCTGCCTCACAGATGTGAGGCCCTGGGTTCGATCCTCAGCCCCACATAAAAATAAATAAATGCCTTTATTTTTATGTGGTGCTGAGAATTGAACCCGGGGCCCACCCATCTGAGGCGAGCTAAGTTTTAAAATTAAAAACAAAAACAAAAACCATGAGATACCATTTTAAAAAAAAAGAAAACAATCATAAAACAGAAGCTAGAAAATTATGAAAAATTTATAAGACTGCATTATCCTTTATTCTTTTACTCTTTCTTTTTTTTCCCTCCCTCCCTCCCTCCCTCCCTCCCTCCCTTCCTTCCTTCCTTCCTTCAGTGCTGAGGACTGAATTCAAGGTCTCACACATGCCAGGAAAGCACTTTAAGCAAGAATGAGCTAGATTCCTAGTCTCTCCATTATACAATATTACTTAAATAAAATTGAAATTATTTAAATGATAAAATTCAGCAACCAAAAACATACAATTCATAATGCCCAGCATCAATTTTAAAAATTACTAGCCATACAAAGGAATAGGAAAATATGACCCATAAATCAGGAGGAAAACTATATAGATAGTATAGAAAGTGTATTTATAGATAGATATGCTGTGCATGTGTGTGTGTCTGTGTGTATGAAATGGACATACTCAGCATATAATTAAGGAAGTAAAAATATAACTTTTAGGATAAACAGTAGAGTAGATATGGCAGAATAAAAGGTAAGTTAACTTTAAAATATAACAAACTGAAAGTAGAGAAAAAAGAAGGCTGAAAAAATAACTAGGGCATAACTGACATGTGGGATCTTATCAAGAAGTCTAACATACATGTAACTAACTGGATTTGTGGGGAAGAGAGTAAAGCAAAAAATAGTTAAAGAAATAGGAACAAAAATTTTTAAATTTGATATTACAGATTCAATGTTTTTAATATACCACAAGTAGAATTTTTAAAAATGAATTATATTACAGCACAACATAATCAAATAACTGTAAATCAACAAATAAGAGAAAATCTTAAAAGCAACTAGAGGGAAAAAATGGCATGTAACTTTTTTACCTAATCATGTATACACAAAGTTATATACTAGCATTGCTTATAATAACAAAAACTAGAAATGACATTTGGGGACAATATAAAATTTATTGAGTATATTTTGGTTTAGATATAGGAACTTGAGGAGCTAAGATTATGAGCATGTAATCCAATAAACTTGAATGAATCTCTGTTCTGCCACTTCAAAGCTTATCTAATCTCTCTGAACATCAGTTTTCTCACTTATAAATGGGAATGAAACGCATGTAAGTCTTATTATACTGCCCAACATATAATTATTTATAGTTAAGATGATTGGGATAATGAACAATGATAAAAATAGCAACAAAAATGATGACTAATGTGAAATACATTTAGCAAGAATTAAAATGATGGTGTGTATTTATATATGCAAATGTGTAAAGATGTGAATGCATTGTTATGTGAAAAGTATAAGATACTATATAGAATAGAAGCTTATTTTTGTCAAGCATAAAATAAGTATGTACTATTTTTATAGCAGAAAAAATATTCATTATTTTAAAAGTTTTAACCTATCATATAAGTTAAAAATATTTAATCTCATTCTTTGTCACTATTAAAATATTACCTATTAAAATATTAAAGTATGAATGCTTAAAATATTAAATAATATTTATATTTAAATGTTAAATATAAAAATATTTAAAGAATATATAGCCAAGAGGAATTCATAGCCTCAAAAGAGTATTAATAAATGAAAGAAAATAAAATGCTGTGAGCAGTCATCTCAACATGTTAGAAAAAAGATAAAGTGAGAATGCAATAGGAATTTTTTTGTGTGTTTTTGGTGGTACTGGGGACTTAACCAGGGACCTCTCATGTGCTAGGCAAGCACACACTACTATTGAGGTATATCCCTAGCCCTGGAATTTTTAAAATTAAAGCAAAAACATTTTAGAAGAGTTGAGTTTGTTTATTTTTTAGATAGCATCTTGCTATGTTGCTAAGGCTTACCTCAAAACTCCTGGATTTAGGTGATCCTCCCATCTCAACCTCCCAAATCCCAAGTAAGTGGGACAATAGACATGTGCAACCACATCCAGCATAGAATTTATTTTTAAAGAATATGCTTTTTAAAAATGATTATGGTTTCTCATAGTGCCTCATGCCAGAGAAAACTGTGGCTCTGAACCACTGCCTGGCCTCTGCCTGTAGGCTGCTGGCACTGAAGCGGGTTACACAGTGGGAAAAAGAAACAAACAAACAAACAATTATGATACACAAAATTACAGAGAAATTAATCAAAAGGGAACAAAGCCATAGAAGGAATTTAAAAAAGGAATGTAACTAATAGAAAAACTTTAAAGAATACTTAAATATGAATAAAGAGGTCAAATATTGAAAAAAATATGTAAATTATCAAAATCATTTTAAAGAAATTAGCAATTAAAAATATAGAGTTAAGGGGCTGGAATTGTGGCTCAGTGGTAGAGTGCTCGCCTAGGATGGGTGGGACCCGGGTTCGACTCTCAGCACCACATAAAAATAAAGGCATTGTGTTGTGTCCATCTACAAAAAAAAAAAAAAAAAAAAGATTCATTTAAAAAAAATAGAGAGTTAAGCATTCTGTGCAGAGACCTGTATTTCAGAGTAGACAATAATTCTGATAGCTTAAGGAAACAATTATTAGAGAAGAATCCAGATCATTAATAGAAAAAGAATGACAAAATGACAAATCACTTTGAAACCCTCCCTAATGAAACAACTGATTTGAAAAGAGGTAAACAAGAATGGATTAAAGGTGGATGGAAAGATTTACAAAGAAAAGATTAGACTACTGTCATCTGAACCCACTGATAAATTTAAACATCACTAGGAATAGACATAATTTGTAAACCATGAGGTTATATAAACGTACATATGCATATATATGTATTTTTTGGCAAAACATGTTGACTGTAAATATAATCAAGCCAAAGTAGCTAACTTCTATTTAAGAAGATCCAGGGATCAGAAGAACAAATTAAATAAACAATACCAAAATGAAACAGATATAGTATGAGATACCCCACAGGGAAAAAAGTCCTAGTTTATGAACAAGTCAATGCCAGAAGGGGAGGAAAATAAAGAGGGGCATTGGTTGAGATTAAAAGAAAAATAAGAGGCATAATCAAAGATGATGTGTGAAGCTTATTTAAAAAAAGAAAAATGTCTGAAGTAATAGTGGTCAAGAATTTTTCAAAATTAATGTAGACATCAAGCATAGAGAACATCAAAAAACAATATGAAAAATCTAATCAGTACTAGGGGTATAGCCTCGTGGTAGAGAACATTTCTAGCTGAAATAAGACCCTGAGTTTGATCACCAGTACTCCCCTCAAAAATCTGTATCTAGGCATAACAAATATAAACTTTAGAAAATCAAACAAAGGAGAGAAGCCAGAGGAAAATGTATCTTACTTAAGAGACATCATAATTACATCAGACTTTTCTTCATGAACAAGCAAAAAAGAAAAAACAGACTGAATAATATTTAAAGATTTGAAAGAAAAATAATCCTATCAAATGAAAAGCCTGTATCCAATAAAATATCCTTTAAAAGTTAAGAAGAGGGGCTGGGGTTGTGGCTCAGTGGTAGAGTGCTCGCCTAGCATGCATGAGGCACTGGGTTCAATCCTTAGCACCATGTAAATGTAAAATAAAGATATTGTGTCCACCTAAAACTTAAGAATAAATATTTTTTTAAAAAAAGTTAAGAAGAAATAAAGACTTTCTAGGGTCAAAATCAAAATAAGAAAAAAAATGAAACAAAAAAATGGAGAAAATTGGTAGATAATAAACCTGCCTTGCAAAAACTGTTCTTTTAAAAAGCTCATCAGCCTTATATACTCATACACTGCTGGTGGGACTGCAAATTGGTGCAGCCAATATGGAAAGCAGTATGGAGATTTCTTGGAAAATTGGGAATGGAACCACCATTTGACCCAGCTATCCCTCTCCTCAGTCTATACCAATAGGACTTAAAAATAGCATACTACAGGGACACAGCCACATCAATGTTTAAAGCAGCACAATTCACAATAGCTAAACTGTGGAGCCAAACTAGATGTCCTTCAGTGGATGAATGGATTAAAAATGTGGCATATATATACAATGGAATTTTACTCAGCATTAAAAAAGAACAAAACCATGGCATTTGCAGGTAAATAGATGGAGTTAGAGAAGAACTCAAAAAACTTAACACACACACACACACCCAATAACCCAATCAATTAAACAGACGAAGGTACTGAACAGACCCTTCTCAAAAATAGAAATAGTCAAAAATATATGAAAAAAATGTTCAACATCTCTAGCAATTGCAAATTAAAGCTACACTGATATCTCATCTAACTCCAGTCGGAATGGCAAATATCACAAATACAAGTAACAATAATGTTGGGGGAATCATAGTTATTCAGTAGATTAAACAAAGGGAAATGCAGGGAAGGGAGAGGAGTACAAAAAAGGAAAGACAGTGGAATGAATAGACATAATTTTCCTATGTACATATATGAATACAGCATAGTGAATCTCACCATCATATAGATTCATAATAATAGGATCCTAATTAGAATAAGATATATTCCATGCTTGTATAATTATATCAAAATGAATTCTACTATCATGGATAACTAAAAAGAACAAATAAAACAAAAAAAGAATATAAGTAACAATAAATGTTAGTGAGAATGTGGGGGAAAATGTATACATTGTTGGTGGGATGGCAAATTACTACAATCACTATGAAAGCAGTATGGAGATTCCTCAAAAAATGGAACCCTCATTTGACCCAGCTATCTCACTTCTCAGTATATATCCAAAGAATTTAAAATCAGCATACTACGGTGATGTAGCTACATCAATGTTTACAGCAGCACGATTCATAATAGCTAAGCTATGGAACCAACTCAGCTACCCTCAGCAGATGAATAAATAAAGAAATATGGTCTATATACACAATGGAGTATTACTCAGGAATTAAGAAGAATGACTTTATAACATTTGCCAGTAAAGGGATGGATCTGGAGACCATCATGCTAAGTGAAATAAGCCAATTCCAAAAAAAAAAAAAAAAGGTCAAATGTTTTCTCTGATATGTGGAAGCTAACCCATAATAAGTGGTTGGGGGGTAGAAGTTCAGTATATTAGACAAAAGGGAATAAAAGGAAGAGAGGGGGACAGGAAAAGGGAAGATAGTGGAATGAATTCGAAATAATTTTCCTATGTACATATATGAATTACATCACAGTGAATCTCACCATCATGTATATCCACAAAAATGGAGTCCTAAAAAGAATATGATATGTTCCATGCTTCTATAATTATATCAAAATGGATAATGCTGGGTATACATCTTTATGCATTTGTCAAAACCCATAGAAGGTACAATGTCAAGAAAGAATCCTAAGGGGCTGGGATTGCGGCTTGGTGGCAGAGCACTTGCCTAGCATGTATGAAGCACTGGGTTCGATTCTCAGAACCACATATAAATAAATAAAATAAAGGTTATTTGACAACTTAAAAAATATTTTAAAAAAGAAAGAATCCTAATAAAAATTATAGGTGGTAAAGATGTATCAATGTAGGTTCATAGACTGTAACAAATGTACTATACAAAAGCAAACAAATAATGAGGGAGAAATGATGTGTAAAAGGAATTATGTCAATCTGGAAGGGAAGTGTTTTAAAACATCATCTGTTAACACTTTCCAAATTAAACTCCAGATATTTTCCTTCTAAACCTGTATTTTAAAAATAGCTAAACCACTGAAAAAGAATACACAAATAAAACTGATTGTCAAAACAGTTTGCACATGCAATTTCAAAGCTTAGAAGGACAGAAATAAAAAAATTATTTTCTTTTTTTAAATTTTATTTGTATATAACAGCAGAATGTGTTACAATTCTTATTACATATATAGAGCGCAACTTTTCATATCTCTGGTGGTATACAAAGTATATTCACACCAATTCATGTCTTCATACATGTACTTTGGATAATAGTGATCATCACATTAAACCATTATTAATTACCCCATGCCCCCTCCCTTCCCCGCCCACCCCTCTGCCCTATCTAGAGTTCATTTATTCCTCCTATGCTCCTTCTCCCTATCCCACTATGAATCAGCCTCCTTATATCAAAGAAAACATTCAGCATTTGTCTTTTTGGGATTAGCTAACTTTACTTAGCATTATCTTCTCTAACTCCATCCATTTACCTGCAAATGCCATGATTTTATTCTCTTTTATTGCTGAGTAATATTCCATTATGTATATATGCCACTTTTTTTATCCATTCATCTATTGAAGGGCATCTAGGTTAGTTCCACAATTTAGCTATTGTAAATTGTGCTGCTGTAAACATTGATGAGGCTGTGTCACTGTATTATGCTATTTTTAAGTCCTTTGGATATAGACCGAGGAGAATGATAGCTGGGTCAAATGGTTCCATAGTCAATTTTCCAAGAAATCTCCATATTGCTTTCCATCTTGGCTGCACCAATTTGCAATCCCACCAGCAGTGCATGAGTGAACCTTTTCCCCCACATCCTGGCCAACACTTGGTACTGGCACCAAAACAGGCTAGTGAGACCAATGGTACAGACTGGAGGCCATATAGACTAACCCACAAAATTACAATTATATTATATTAGACAAAGGTGCCAAGAACATGCATTGGAGAAAAGATAGCCTCTTCAACAAATGGTGCTGAGAAAACTGGAAATCCATATGCAACAAACTGAAATTAAACCCCTATCTCTCACCATGCACAAAACTCAACTCAAAATAAATCAAGGATTTAGGAATACAACCAGAGACCCTGCCATCTATAGAAGAAAAAGTAGGCCCTAATCTCCATCATGTGGTATTAGTCCCCAACTTCCTTAATACAACTCCTATGACACAAGAATAAAATCAAGAATCAATAAATGGGATGGACTCAAACTAAAAAGTTTCTTCTTAGCATAAGAAACAATCTGTGAGGTGAATAGAGAACCTACATATTGGGAGCAAATCATTACCCCTCACACATCAGATAGAGCACTAATCACTAGGGTATATAAAGAACTCAAAAAGCTAGACATCAAAAAAAAAAAAAAAACAAATAACCCAATCAATAAATGGGCCAAGGACCTGAATAGAAACTTCTCAGAAGATGATGTACAATCAATCAACAAACACATGAAAAAAATGTTCATCATCACTAGCAATTAGAGAAATGCAAATCAAAACCACTCTAAGATTTCATTTCACTCCAATCAGAATGGTAGCTATTATGCATACAAACAACAAAAATTATTTTCTTTAATTGATTACTTGCTAAGCCTTATTTTCAATGAATCCCATCTTCAAAGACAAGACTTTGTGGAACAGTATCATACCCTGGGATTTAAAACTACAGGCCATGAGTCCAATGACAAGTGAAGTTATCTGAGGAGGCATGAGACCCATGCCTGAGACCCAGACATGATATTTTTTAATAGTTAGGGACAACATGGGCTACTGCCATTTGTACTTGCCACTGCCTCTGAAAGTTGGAATTCTGGGTCCAGGCCATAGTAACCCTGTTTAGACAGAAGCTTATCAGAAGAATTAGAGGATGCTCTACTTACAAGAAATTTTCAGGATATCAAGAGGAGACTTGGATATTCTAACAACAAAGAAAGTACTAAAAAGGTCAATCTTTAGGAATTCAGATGACAAGTTCTTAAATTAAAATAAATACTCAAAAAAAGTACTCACGTGATGAGGGTGTTGAAGCCACCTGCCTTCATCTTCAGCAAACGGTCTCTCCAATACTTCTTGGGCACCCGGAAATAGTGAACAGTGCCTGCTATGATCAGGAACGGAAAGCCTCCTAGTGTGAAGTTTGAGCCCTCAACTTTTAGACCTGACTTGCGGTTTTTCAGGTAGGAGGGGATCAGGTGACTTTGATTAATCCTATGAGGACAGAGAAGGTACATGAAATCCTAGAGATGTTACCATTTACATAGGCTGGGCAAATCAAGACCTTTTTTTCAGGGGCCCTAAGCATTCCTCCAATGGTAAGCAAAACCTCCCCAGTCCTCCTTTCTCAAACATACCTGGGTGACAGGCCTTGGCTGAGATGAGTTATCACTGAAAAGGCTGAAGCAAGGAACAGGATACATTCAAATCTCACCAGGAAGGGCCACATGCTAAACAGATAAGATAGAATGAGGTCAAAGAGATATGGTGGGTTGGAGGAAGGAAGGAAGTTGCTTTGTAAAGAACACTGAATAGGGTGTAGAAGAAATTCCTCTAGAAAGAGGGTCCCAGTTCTTTTCTCTAACCTAAATTTTTCACTCTGCTACTGTGTATAATAATATTATACACAGTATATTGTGTATATTTATATACACAATATATAATTATACACAATTATATATTGTGTATATAATTATTGAATTGCCAGAACATATTTTATCATTTATGTGGCCTGTGATTTTCTTTATGCTACTCATAGAGCAAATACTCTTTCCTCTCTGTATCAATTTTTTACCAGTCCAGAGTGGACTGAATCAATATTGTATAGCAAGGACAAGAGGGCTGTGCCCATCTGGGAGGAGAAAAGCAGTATGCACAGGGCATAGTTGTTATTCCAGCACCCAAAGCATTGCCTGAATCATAGTAGACACTCAAGGATTTTTTTTAAATGGTTGATGTCCATATTGTTTTTGCATTGCCAGGGATGGAACACAAGGAGGCCTTGAGAATGTTACAGCAAATGCTCTACCACTGAGGTACACACCCCCACCCCCAGTTATTTTTAAAAATTTTTTATAAACATGTATCTATTGTATGTAGCAATTCAATACACAAGATTTCAGTACATGCACATAGTGTGCACTGATTCAATCCACTTTTTCCCCACCCCTTCACAAGCTCTCATAATCACTGTAACATTCAAGTCAATTTTTTAATTTACCAGTAATTAAAAAAAAAATCTATGTGTTGCCAGAATCACTAAAAAACCTACGTTGTCTCCAGTACCTGTCAGCTTTTATTGGACTTAATGAGTATTGCCATAGGAAGAATTGGGATTTAAATTTTGGAAAATCAGAGAAAATACAGGACAGGGACCCTAAGATTAAATAAAATAACAACTAGAAAAGCAGGGTGCCCAGGACCTTCTAGGCAAGATTGAGAGGATAAGAAATGGAGATGCAGCGACTCCCTGACAGTTCAGAGAGGCTGAAAGTGAAATCGGGAGATGCTGCAGCGGAGATTTCCAGAGAGGAGGACAGAAAGCCTGAAGCAGAGCCTTAAGAAAACCTAAAGGAAATGTCCAGCGGGGAAGGGGTATCGAATGTGAGGCAATTTCACTGGAAACTCAGCCGTCAAGGTCCATTCAGTCCTGGGGCTGTGAATCCAGCCCAGGGCTATGAGAGAGCCCGGTGCGGGAAGAGCTATTGAGTCCTGCGACTGTGGTGGGATGAGTGAACTCTAGGGGCCGCTGCCTGGCCAGCACCCACCTTACTGGTGAGGGCGGCTCTGGGCAGACGCCGCAGTTCCAGCTCCCTCCAGGTGCGGGGTCAAGGGGGGACTAACCGGCACCGCGCTCGGCCCACACCCGCAGCCTCGCCCCCCCCCCCCCCCCAACAAAGCCACCCTCTTTTTCCCCAGGAGACTGGTCCCTCGCGTGTGGGCAGACCCATTCCGCGGCTACCTGTCCCCCAACACCCACCTCGAGGATCACCTCCTCCTCCATCCCACCAGCCAGAGCAAGACCCTCCCCTGTCTGCCCTGGGGGGTGCTCCCCTCTGGTGGTCTGCACTCCCAGCAGAGCCCAGGCGAGTACCACCGTGTTGTCAGCTCCTGGGCAGCGCGTGCTGCTACTGACTTCAGGAGATGGGCCAGTTGCAAGGCCTTCTTGTAAAGTCCAGGTCGCCACACGCATGACGCCCTCCCCTCCGCATACTAACAGGGTTTGTTCGCACGCGGGCTCCCAGTCTCCAGCATTTGGCGGTAGAGACACAAAAAACGAAGACCAAAACATGCCCTCCTTCCTTTAGAGATTAGGAGTCTAGGGGAAAGTTGAGCAAGCCCAGATGGCCACCTGGAAGAGCCGGCTGGTTCCTTTTACTGGATTTGTCCTGAAGGAAGCCAGTCACTTGATTCCGCCTAGAATGGTGGTATGGTGGTTCTCGAAGCGTGGAACTGTCGGCACAGCGTACCTTATCCGAAAAGCAGCAGAAATTCTCTGTACCCCTCCAGATCCACAGTCCACAGCACCCTCAACTGGGGGGTAGGGGGTGGAGCCCAGCCTTGAGGTTGGGACACACCCTCCAGGCAATTCTAAAGCACTCTTATCACAGGTCTCCAATTCCCCCCACCTTTCACCTTTCACCCTAAAGTGAAGGGTAGGGAACTGAGAGTCAAAGTGGAGTTGTTAGTTTAACCTCACGGGAAGATCTTTTTTTTTTTTTTTTTTTGAGAGAGAGAGAGAGAGAGAGAGAGAATTTTGCGCTACAGCTTGAGCCACATCCCCAGCCCTCTTTCTTTTGTTTTGTGGGGAGGACAACCATTGCAGGCTCCCCACTTGGGTGGGAGTTCCAGCATTTAAAATTCTCCCAGCTTAATTTATACATAATCCAGGTACAGGCTCCAAAAGAAGTTACTTAACTCTTTTTTTTTTTTTAATTATTTGTGT